AACGGCCTAAGTCCACTAGATGGCGGTATTGTAATTTTGATAACACCGGCTGCGTTGAAACCTCAGAGAAGAAGAAATAAAGCCTGTCCGGCTGGTTAACCGTAAAAGGGGGATGGCCGTCGTGGATCTAGCACCTGGCAACCCTCTCAGCTCGAGCCCAGCACTGTAAACAAGCGGAGGACCCTCAGCGTTTAGCTAAAGCTACAAGACCCAACGTTCCTCTCTGTACGTGTAAAAATACCTTTTGTTTCAGCTTCAGAGCTTCTCGTTATCATCTTTTTTAGTTCCAACACCTTAAATAATGCTGACACGTAATATAAACGTGTTTTAAAGTCATGTGTGAAGCAGATGCCGAGCTAGCCCGCTAGCTAACCAAGTATTAGATGTCAGTTTTGCCAGTGGTCTGTGTGTGAATTTCTTTCTACATATGTTGTGATTATATCCAAAAGATAATTAAAATACATGTTTAAATAGATGATAAAAGGAGTGTTTTATTTTACGTAAGCCGGGATAACGTTACTGTCTGTAACTGAGCTGCGCAGAGAAGCAATAAAACAGCAATATGCAGCTAGCCTTATAAGGCTGCCACCTAATACATCCCACAGAGATCACCTTCACTAACCTTGACCTTTCCATCTTTGTTTCTCATATTGCAGGACAAACAGTTGAAGTTCACTTGAAACCCACCATTTAATGTAAATACCTACCCATGGACCAGTGCAGTGTCTTCTCCACCCCAGTATCACTATTGGAAGTGCAACATGAATGACAAACTAGTCTTCTTGGGCTTGCTGTACTTTGTCCAGGGCATCCCCTATGGTCTCCAGTCCTCTCTGCTTCCTGTATACCTGCGTGGAGCTGGACACTCTCTTACACGCATTGGTTTCACCAAAATCCTCTACTTTCCCTGGGTGCTTAAGGTACTCTGGGCCCCTTTAGTTGACCGTGTGGGCACCAAGCGTCGCTGGCTGGTGGGGACAGTGTCTGGGCTTGCACTGACATGCCTCTCCAGTGCTGCCCTGGCTCCAGAAGCACACATCTGGGGAGTGGCTGGAACTCTGCTTGCCATGAACACCTTCGCCTCAGTACAAGACATTGCTGTAGACGGGGCTGCTGTTGGGTTGTTGAAAGGACGCGGGGAGCTTGGACTGGGCAATACAGCCCAGGTTGTGGGATATAAAGCTGGATCAGTGTTTGCTGGTGGGGGGCTCCTTGCTGTGATTGATGTAGCTGGATGGAGCTGGATGTTTATGCTGCTGACATTTGTGTATGCAGGCGTAGCTCTGTTTGTGTGGGGGGCCCCTGTGCTGGACGATGAGAATGTGAAACAGGCAGATGGCAGCAGGAGGGTTGGGCAGGGAGCAGAGGCTGTGAGGCCATGGAGGGTATGGAGAAAGCTGATGGCAGTACCTGGTACACCTTGGACAATCCTGTATGTCCTTACATACAAACTAGGTAAGTCTAACGATGATGCAAACACTTTTAACCTATTAAACAATTACACTGTTATATATCAATTACTTTTTTTATTGAGTGATTTAGACAACTTTCATTGTCATTTTGTTTACACAGTCTATACAAAACAATTTTGTTTTGTATAGCTTTCAGACAGTTAATGAACAGTAGCTTATTTCATAAAGTGCAGCAGTGATCAAATGTAAACAGTGTGGGAGAACAAAAAACACATGGTGGAAAAAATGCATTGATATGGAAGTTCAGAGCATTGCGAGACAAATATATATGGTGCAAGTATGCATCATGGCTCAGCATTTAAACTTGCTATGAAAAAACATCCCAAAATGATCAGTATTTCGTCTTTTATATTATTAATGGTACTTATTAGGGGAGTGGTGCCAAGTGGTTAGGGCATTCCAGAATCCAGAGGTTCCGAGTTCAAGCCCCACTCCCACAGATTGCCACTCTGGGTCCCTGAGCAAAAGACCTCTTAACCCCACTTGGCTGCCCACTTTCCAAATGCAGAGACTTCATTTCATTACTCTGTACTTGTGATAGTTTAATGACATAAAAAAAAAAAGCTGGAGCTGGACTTGGAGGAAAATCTTAACACCATCTTTACATAATCAGTATACATATGCAAAACATTTTCAATCTTAAAGCACAAATCCATTTGCTGAGTTAGAAAATACTCTTAAAACAATAATGCTAGAGAAAATAATTGTAATTTACCACAGCTATCCTGGGGCTTGCAGGTGGAGCAGTGGTTAGTGCGCACTTCACATGTATGGAGGCCTTAGTGCTTAACGCAGCCAACCTGGGTTCGAATCAGTCCTGTGGTCCATTGCCACATGTCTCTCCCCGTCTCTCATACTCCCTTTCCTGTCAGCCTACTCTAAGAAAAATAAGCAACTAGTGCTGTAAAAACTCTAAAAGAAAAAAAACGTATGTTTGTCATACTCCTTTCCTGTCAGCCTACTCTCAAAAAAACCAAACAAACCTGGTTTGAAAGCATCTGGTGTTTGTGAACTGGCAAAAAACTATTAACATATCCAGGCTCTTTTTTTTTAAATTATTTTTAAGACTCTTTCAACATCTTAATTGATGGAAGTAACATCTCTGAACTGTGTCTTAGGTGGAACTTTTTGTTCATTTTTCAAACCCTAAAACATTGAGGTCTAATTTAAAGGAATAGTACACCCAAAACATGATTAGCCTTCATTTTCTACTCACCCCCATGCTG